CTGTCTTTCCCTGAAGCCTCCTCTGCCCAGCCTCCTCCATCCCTGGGTCTCTGCTGGGGGTCCCATGAGCCCCGTGCTTCTAGCCCCCGCTGTCCCCCACAGAGCTGACACCGTCTCTGTTCTGTCCCAGCCCCTAACGCAGGCTTGGTGCAGCAGGAACCCAGGTCCACCCAGAAGGCAGGCAGGCACCCCCCGTGTGCACAACACCATGCCTACTGCCAGAAGCCTGGGGACCTGACGGCCACCTGCCTCAATGCTCCACCCAGAGCCAAGAACATTTCTAGATGTTTTTAGTCAGAGGGAAACCCTACCGAGACACTTGGTGAGTCTGCCCCACCCCAATTTCACACCCACCATCACCAGCCACACCTGGCACCACCGTGAACAGGGTTCTGGCCCTAATGCCTCAGGACAGGAGCCCCAACCAGTCCCTTGTGGGACAGATCAAGAAACTGAGGCTGGGGGGCGGGCAAAGGGATGGCTCACAACCAGCTGGCCCATGGGGCAGAACCAGGCCCCGGGCAAGAACACAGCGGGAGCCGGTCCAGGGCCCTTCGATCCCCAGCCAGCCCAGTCAGCCCCGGCCTCCCCCAAGGCTCCCAGTTAGCATCCGGCGACGGCAAAGCAGCAGCCCGGAGACTGAGCAGCCTGTGCCCGCCTTATAAGGCAGTCTCGGGGGAAACTTGGCTGGTGTCAGCCATGGAACCAGAGGTGGGTGGTTCCCGAGGGGGAGCGGAGTCAGTAGCTCACCGCACAGACATGGTTCTGGGTCCTGTGGCCCAGCCCCACCCAGAGCCACTCATGCAGGGGCAGGGGAAAAGCAGGGACCTAGGCGAGGGGACAAGGCCGTACTCACCCAGAGCCTGAGAGAAGCAGGGATGACCGAAGGGTGACAAGGAGGGTCAGGGGTCAGGGCCTGGGACCAGCAGCCTCAGAAACACAGACCCCAATGCGCCAGAATGGAGCAGGTCAGACCTGCGGGGTTATTGGTTGACCAGGAAAGGATCTGCTTGGTCCCTGCAAGGTCCCATGGGGTCCCTGGGGTTCTGATGTCTGAAAGGGCCACAAAAAGCCATCTCACCCCTCCAACATTGTTTTATTGAGCACCTACTACATCTATGTCACTCAGCCAGTAAAACAAACAAACAAACAAAAACAAAAAAACCTTGAAGGAAACAGACAACAGCCTTACCCTCAAATAACCCAGAACCTAGTAGGGCATGGAGGGAATTCTGAAAAATACAGAGCAAATGCTCAGAGTGGATATCGCTGGATTACAGGTGAACCTTAGATTCTAACTTCTAGATTTTCTAAACCTGGAAAGAAAAGGTACACTGAGAAGCTATTTTTACATTAGAAGTCTAGCAGAGGAAAAATGTTTCATGCAACACAAGTAATTAACATTGCAAGCCACACACAAGATATCATAGACCAGAAAAAATGCAAAAAGGCACAGGAGTCAAAGGAAGTGAGACTACCTCTGACTCTAGTAGGAGGGCTTCATGGAAGAGGTGCCATTTGAGCTGGGCTGTGAAGGATGCACAGAAGTTGAAAAAGCAGCAACGTGAAGAGGAAGAAGGTCAGGGGCTAGGGGTCAGGAGGTCAGGGCAGGAGGTGAGGAAAGGTGACCTGTGAAGGCCGTAACAGGACCAGAGCAGGAGGAGCCTGGGGAACAGGGAGGTTTGAGCTGGACAAGAGAGGGAACCAACTGTGGAGGGCCCCATGGACAGCGGGCCAGGGAAGGCCCAAGGCTGGTGGGGATTTCGTCAGTGCTGTGCTGTAGGAAGCTCCATCTGGGAGCAACTCGGCCATGGTCCCTGGAGACCCTGTCCTGCACCTGAAGCCACAGTCCAGAAGGCAGAGGGCACGGAGCTCCCTCCCTCCCTGATCCTTCACCCCTGTGGTGCCAGCTGGCCTCAGGTGCCAGGGACGGCGTGCCCACAGGGGGCAGTCGGAGCAAGGCCTGCAGGGTGGGAGCTTCTGGGAGGGGGCAGAAGGGGATGGGAGTGCCAGCCCGGTGGGAAAGATGGATGGGAAGCCAGGTTGAGGGGCAATCGGATCTGTGTCTGGATGGACTGGACGGGATATGACCAGAAGAGAGGGAGGGGCAGGGGAGCAGACAGAGCCTCAGAGCAGGGGACCCCCAGAAGCCACTGCAACAGATTCCAGGACCACACCTCCACTGGAAAGGCCCTGCCTGCCACCGAGCTTGCCCAGGACTCCAAGAATGGACATCCAAGGCCGAGACGGTCAGGGCCAAGTTCTCCAGCCCACAGTGGGTCCTGCTTCCTCCTCCTCACCCAACCTCTCACACCCTGCATTACTCCCAGGCCCCAGGACCAGAGTCACCCGCAGTGCTGCCCGAAGGGAACAGAATCCTCCCCAACGGAGCCATCCGAGCCCCCACTTCCTCCAGCCCTCCCCCTCCCCCAGCATTCCTCCCCTTTGCAGCCGCCTATCTAACTGCATCTGTCCAGCCTGAAGGTTCTCAACCTGTGAGCACCGGTCTCAGAGAGCCCCTTCCCCACCCAGCTGATGAGACACGGGAGGTCCCGGCACACGCACCCCTCCCCAGCTGACACTCCGAGGCAGGACGACAGCCACTGGCCCATGAGCGGGACCCCCATCTGCTGGACCCACTGGCTGCTCTCAGGGGCACCGGGGTCTGGGCTGCTGACCGCAGGGCTCTGGCACTGGGCTTGGACATTTAAACTCTCTTCCACGGAGAAAGTCTGCGGTTCCCTCTGAGCTCCAGGCTCCGGGGCACCTCGGGAATGCTGCCTCAGCTCCCCTTCTTCACCTGGGTAAATCCTACTTTCTCCAAGGCTGGCTCAAGCAGCTTGGGCTCCGGGAAGACCCCCACAGCCCCCTCGATGGCTCCTGGCTGCTCTTTAGTGGCTGTTCTCCTGAGGCAGAGCCAGCCTGACTGGCCCTGCGGCCCTGGCGCCCAGCACAGCCTCTGGGCTAAGTGGAGCCCTGAGGCTGTGCCCTGCCCGCCCTGATGACCCAGGGCAGTACCACCCTGGGCAGACCCCCCCGCCCATCCCCCAGAGCCAGGACCGCCTCCTCACTCAACCACCACGAGCTGCCATCAAGATCTGGCCGTGGACGGGCCTGGTGATGACCATGTCCCCAACCGGGATATGACCAGAGGAGAGGGAGGGGGTCGTATCTGGTGGCAAAGGCCCTGGACCAACAGAAGACCACTCCCCACATACTGGGCATGCCTTCGTGCCAACACCACGGTATCTGAGTGGGTGGGCGTGGCTCTGCAGGGTCAAGTTTGGGGAGATGGGAGGGTGGGCTGAGGCCCAGCACTGCAGCCAATGCAGAGTCTTGGCCCCCACCCCCATCCCAGCTGCTCGGTCAAACGAAGGGAGCTACTCCCACCGAAGCGTCAGGAGCGCTGGCCCCCATCCAACACCCCACCCTGTCTGACGCCGAAAGCCGCCCTAGTCCCTGAGCCCACGGACCATGGGAAAACTTGTGTTCAAAAAGGAAAACCAAGAAAAACTGAAAGCAGGGTACGGACGGGCTATCCATGCACCCATGCTCACAGTGGCCAAGGAGCCGTAGCCTGGGGTCCGTCCGCGGACTCTGGCGTAAGTGAGCATGAGCCAAGTCTGTGCTGAAGGAGGGAGTCGTGGGGCGGGGGGCAAGCAAAATGGGATCTGTCCGCACAACAGAATATTACTCAGCTGTAAAAAGTAAGGAAATGCCAACACAGACTACACCACAAATAGACCGTGAGGACACGGTGCTCGGTGAAGTCGGCCAGACACGGAAGGATGAACACTGTCGGATCCCACGTCTGGGAGGTTCACGGGGCCAGAGGGTAGACGGGGGGGCCGGGATGCCAGGGGCTGGCAGAGGGGGACGGGGAGTTAGTGCTTGGTGGGGACACAGTTTCGGTTTGGGAAGGTTCTGGAGACAGAGGGTGCAGTTGGCTGCACGACAGCATGAGTGTGCTCAATGCCACTGAGCCTCGTACTTCACGACGGTTCAAGTGGTCAATTCACGGTACGCGTATTTTACCAAAATTAATAATAATAATAATTTAAAAGGTAAATCAAAAACCTAGAATGTTTTGTTTATCCAACCCAAAGAATACTTGCTGAGCATTTACTGCGTCCAAATCCTGCACTTGGAAAAGGTTTACAGCCCCACCAGCCCCTGACCACCGTGTCCCATGGCCAGATGTTCCCAAGCGGGCCCTGGTTAGCTCCCCACGGGAGCACAACTCCGAGTTTGGGCCCTCGGAGTACAGCACCCAAGCCCCTGGCTTCCCTCCCTCACCGGAAGAGCTTCCCAAACGGAGCTGTGTGCAGGTATCATGGGGTTCCCCGGCCCAAGGACCCCTTCCTAGCTGTCCCGAGAATTGGGGCACACAGAGATTAGGCATTCTTGTTTCCCTTGCCTCCAGCCACAACCCTCCCTCCCTGAGGAAGAGTTGGAGGAAGATCCTCCAGGACAAAACCTCAGGAGGGCACAAACCCCCTCCTCCCACCCGAGGCCTCTGCCTCCGGCAGGTACTTACAGAGCAGCCCACAATCCCTCCTGAGCAGGAACCTGCCTCCCCGTGGCCCGGCAACCAGCGGCACATGGGAGCCGGTCCTTGGGTCCCAAACCACGTCCCAACATGAGCCTGTTGCCTCCTCATTCCCCAGACTTCCAGACCCCTGCCGTTCGGGGCTCTGAGAGCAGAAGCTCTACACCACGGTGCATTCTGACCAGTAAAGGGGGCCCCTCGAAACCCAAAGACTCTGTCCAAAGCCCAATGCAAGCCAAGCTTGCTGCTGCCTCCCAGTCCATCCCCAGTGGAAAGAAAGGGCTGCCAGTCCCCCTCACCAGCCTTGGGACCCCTGCCCTGGTGTATTCTTGGCCTCTCCGGAATCGCATCTCCACCCACCTGCTACCCACCCCCTCCCCCCCATATCCAGACTGAAGGGCAAAGCCAGCTCCCCATCCCCGAGCACCACAGCACGGAGGACTCGCTTTTGCTACTCACCCTCTTGGCTCTTGGGTGGGGCCTCGACCACGGGGTGCTGGGGTTTGGGCTCCAGCCTGTTCTGCAGCTGAGACATCAGGGCGTGTTCTGAATTCTCCAGGGTCTGGGGTGGGATGGGGGAGGCGGGCACCTCAGCTGGCTTGGGCACCTGGATCTCGACCCTCTTGGGGGCTGCGTCTGCAGTGGGAGCTGTGGGCACCTCGGGGATCTTGGAGGCAGGGGTCTCCATCCTCCGGTGGGTCGACTCCTGGGGCTTGACTATGGTGATCTCCGTCCTCCGAGGGGTGGGCTCTGGCGTCTTGTGGCCCAGCGCCTCGGCTCGCTTGAGCCCGAAGCGAGACGGCCCAGCGGTGCTGGCGTTCTCCACCTGCTTGGATGAGATGTCGATGGAGATCTCCGTGCGCCGGGACACGGGCTCGGCCTTGGGCCCCGAGAGCTCGACCCTCCGCAGGGCAGCCTTGGGGGATCGCTGGCTGAGGGAGTCTACATGGCGGGCTGCGGGCTCGGAGTTCTTCACGCCCAGGTCCTGGAACTTCTGGGTGGAGCTGGCCACAGTGGCCCGGAGCACAGGGGTCTGGACCCTCCGGTGCGGGGTGGAGTTGGGCGTCTCGGCCTCCTCGACCTCAAAAGATCTTTTCAAGGCTGGAAAACAGAGGGGGGGGGGATGTGAGGAGCGGACGGTTCGGGAACGTGCTGCTGAGGGAGCCAGCATGGGGGCTGCCTTGAGGGGCCCAGGAGACTCCTGCACCCTCCACCTCTTGGGAAGAAAGGGGACAGCCCCACTCTCCTAGGGGACTCCAGCACCAGCGATCGCACACACACTGGGAGAGAGAGCGAGAAGGCTGGAGCTCGGAGGACACCAGCTCTCTGTCCCCCATGGCCACGGCGTGGATGTGGCAGCCACGTTTTCTATAAAGATGTTGTGGCTCAAGCGGAGCTTTGATTTCTTCCTTGGCAGCCTTCCTTTAACCCTCCTCACCTCCGCCCAGCGCAGACACCACACACCGCGGGCAGCAGCAACTGGGCGGGGTGGGGCGGGAGGCATCCCCAGTCACACCAGCCTCAACCACAGTCTGTCAGAATCAGGACGGCAATGATGCCATCGTGACAACCGACATCAACCGCCAACACGGGCACTGGGCTTACCGCGTATGTTCACTCCTCACGCGACCCAAAGCTGCAAATACCGGTTAACCCCTGGTACGGACGGGGAAACTGAGGCCCTGGTGCTTAAGCAACGTGCCCAACGGCGTGGAGACAGAGTGGCGGGGCCAGAAGATGCATCTGTCCAGCGGCAAGGCCCAAGATTCTGACCGCTTGGCTGTCCTGTTTCAGGCAGCAGAACAGAGCCCTGGCGCGGCAACTCTCTCGGTCCGCACCCTCAGCTGCATCTGCCTCCGTGCTTTGCTACCTGCCCTAGCCGGACCTGGACCCCCATGGGACGCTGGCCACCTGATTCCCACCCCGCCGCCCAGTGCTTCCGCCCGGCTGCCCGCTACCTCCGCAAGGACCCGCTCCCTCCGAGGCCGGGGGACAGTGCCTGGGAAGCTGCCGGCCATCCCCACGGTCCCTGCGGCCACGCTCCCAACAAGAACCAGCTGCTCCCGCCATAAAGACCAGAGCAGAAAGGGCCCACGTGGCAGGAACATTCACCAGCTCCTTCCTGGCCAGGCCCCCAGCAGGCCCTCGGCAGCCCAGAGTGCCTCTCCCACCCCTCGCCTCACCTCGCCAACCCAGCCCCCCTCCCCGAGCCCAGGATTTCCTAGGACCCTGCCAGTTCCCCCCCGGGCCCCCAGCTGGCCCCAGCCCCAACAACAGCAATCTGGGGCCATTCTCAGCACCACCCCCCAACCCTGAGTTTTCCCTCCCCCAAATTCCAGCACAGTCTTGTCTCTTCCCAGTGGATGGTGCTTCCCCCAGAGATCAGGGCCTGGCGGGCGGCTGAGTGGGTGGGTGGCCAGAGAAGCATGTGCTCGTAAGCACTGGGAGAGTGAGGAAGCAAAGGAGGCCCTCACCCCCGACGTCTGGCTGCCTGATCTCCGGTTCCCCAAACGTGGCACCCCAGCAGCACCCCTCTGAGCCCTGGGCACGTCTCCTTCTCGGGGCACAAAGGGCACAAAATCCTGAGTTGCAAAGCTCAGCCATCCCAGAGGCCCTGCAGGGACAGAAATGTCCCTGGTCAGGGGGACCTAGCATGTCACTGAGCACCCTGTCTCGGGGATCCACCAGCTGCTCAGCTCTGCTGCTGCCTGGCAGGCCCGTATGCCCAATGCGGCCAGAGCTTCAGACTTGGCAGAAGAATCTGGAAATCTGCCCTTTTTTATGTGCTATCTCCTGATCTGTATATGCTGGCGCAGAGGAAAATAACCCCTCTTAAAACACGGAACAGTCAAACAGAATCCCATCCACAGGCTGCAATTGGCCTGGGGGCCCAGCGTGTGACCTCTGGTGGATAACGTGGCCAAAGGCGGTGGGGTCCTGTGCCGAGTGGCAGGGATGTGTCCAAGCAGGGATGCCAGCACTTCTCCCCTGGGGCCTGGCCCCTAAGAGAACCACAGAGTGCAAACCGCTCATTCCAAAGAAGGCTGAGGTGACAAAGGACAGGGCCAGGGTGCATTTAACTGGCCAGAAAGTCCTGAGCTGAACACCTGGAACACCTGGAACCGTGCCCTCACAGGGTTCCCCGGGACCTCGAGGCATCTGGTCTACCCCCGGCCTCGCGAGCACTGTCCAAACTGCCCCCCGAACGGTGGTTCCTGTCTGTCTGTGAGCTCCCTAGAGGTGGGGTCCACACCCCACCCACCTCGGCACAGGCATTTCCAGGTGTCCCTGGGGTTAATCCGTGGGGCCGAGTTGGAGAACAGAAATCAGGGGGGTAGGCCTTTGCCCACGTTCACCCCAGAATGAGACGACCTCCTCTCCGGAAGTACCGGCGAGGCCTGTGACCCCATTTGGAGAGCCCCCTCCCTGGGAAACCCATTCGGAGGTGCCCTTAACCACCGACCCACGAGTTAGAACCGTACACCAAAGCAAAACCTGGTCCCTGACTCAGGCACCGATGGTCACGGGGTGGCGATGAACTCGAACCCGACCCGCACACAGATCACTATTGAGCCGGGCTGGCAACCCTCCTCCCTCAGCAATCTCCACAGACGCATGCGTCCGTCCCCACCCGCCGCCCTCTCCTCTCGCCGCTTCGAGCCCCGTCGAAGCACACGCCATCCCTGGCCCTACATGACCTGGGAGCTCCTCGTCCCACTACACCATCGACCAAGGTGTTCACCCTCGGGCTTCAGGCACCGCCCCATCCCGGGTTACTCCTAGGCTTCAAGAGAACAGGAGCAGTTCCCACCCTCAGGGTGTGACTGTCAGCAAGCCGGCTGCGTTGTTAGGCTTGTTCTGGAGAATTTACGCCATCCCCCCAAAACCTTGATTCCAAGTCCCCTCCAAGGCCAGGCTCGCTGTCGCCTCCTGCCCCAGCCCAACACATTCATACGTCTCCCTCCCATGGCATCCAGGCCATGTCATGACTATGGGGATTGGCTTTGGGGTGGGGGAGTGGGTTTGGGGTCCCTGGAAACATCCTCTCCTTTGTAACTCCACGAGCCACCTCTTTGTCCCTTCATGGGCCTCAGGTGCTGCTTCTAAACGAGCTGAAGGTGGGAGCAGGTCACAGGTTTGTACCTGTGGGCACGGAGCCCCGGGGAAGCCCCTAGACAAGGGGCCTCGGGAGCAGAGAGGCACCGGGTCTTCACTACTTTTTCAGCCTGAGAAGCTCCACCTTCCTCTACAGTTCTGTAATGGGTTGAATCGTGTCCCCCAAAAGGTATGTCCCAGTCCCGACCCCCAGAACCTGTGAAGGTGACCATACTTGGGAAGATAAGGTAAGGATTCAAGATGACACCATCCTGAATTTAGGAGGGGCTCTAAATCCTATAAGTGTTCTTATACAGGAGAGAAGAGGGGGATTTGAGGCACAAACTCAGGCCCTGTGAGACCAGCAGAGACCGCAGTGATGCAGCCCAAAGCCAGGGGACGCCTGGGGCCACCAAGAAGCTGGGAGAAGCAGGAAGGATTCTTTCCTCATGCTTTTGGAAAGAGTATGACCCTACTACACCTTGACTTTGGACTTCAGGCCTCCAGAACTGTGAGGATAAACTTCCGCGGTTTGAGCCCCACAGTCTGTGGTAACTTCTTACGGCAGCCCCAAGAAGTTACCACAGCTACCGCTGGAGGGGTGAGACCTCTGCGCTGCAGGCCTGTCTGGGCTCTCCGGCCGGTGCTGCCACCCTGCCCTGCACCCCAGCCCCTCTCCAGGGACCCAGGAGAAAAAGCCACCTCCTTTTCCTCTCCTGGAATCCACAAAACCCCAGATGGTAGGAGCAGTCGTCGGGAGTGACCCTGCTCTAGATTTACACCGGGAAATTTGGTGATGAAACAAGATCATTTTTTTAAGGCAGGCTTCGCAAGGGACGCCCCGTACAAAGCTGCCTCCCCACGGAGGATGTCGTGACATGAGCAGCACCCAGCTGGGAAAAATTAGCAGACTGTCCTGAAGCTTCCCCCCTCAGAATCCTAAAAACACACCCTGGGTCCCAGGCACACACACACAGCCCCCGTCCTTGGAAGCCCCCTCCACCAGCTCCGGGGGGAGGGTGGGTGTGACCTCCCCCGGTGGCAGGCACCCCTCCCCTTCCCTGCAAGGGTAGAGCCCGCCAAAGGGTGTCCACAAGCGGCCACGGAAGCCAACAAGAGTGCTCATGAGCTGGTCATTTTGCAGATTTGAGACCCTATGTGACCATATGTCAGATCTGATGCCTGGGCAGAAAAGCAGCCTCTCACTGGACCCGTGGGGAGCCGTGGGGAGCAGCACTGAGCTGCCTCTTCTGTCTGCAAGATGTCACTGAGTCAGAGGGCACAAAAGACATCTACAGCTGGACAGGACAAACCAGACTGCCTCGGAGCCTCAGACAGGTACGGGGCCGTCACTGGGGAAGAAGAGACCCTGCCATCCATCCCCATGGGGCAGGAGGTCCCCCGGTTCTGCTTACACGGTTCCCAAAACAAGACTGCCCCCGTTCCCCCTCCTTTGTATTCAAGTCCCCCCAAAGCCTCAAACCTCACCTGCTCCCAAAAGCCCTCCCTAACGGGCACCGGGAGTCTGGAGATGGTGGTCTGTGCACCTTGGCCTGCTGCTGGGAATTTACTCCCAGGCAATAATCCGAAGCAGAGGATTTATGTATGGGGACGTTTGCATCAGCGTTAAAATAGCAAACGCTGGAAACAATCCGGGTTTACATAGATTTTCTAAACCCATATGCCAAAGTCCTGCACCGTCATCAAAATCACGGTTTTGAAGATGAGAAATGTTGAGAATATTGAGTAAAAATAGCACGATACAAGATGCGTGCAAAGATCCGACTGCGTCTCACATGCACATGTGCGGTGCGCGCGCACACTCGCGGAGGACGTGGTCTCTGGATGGAGTTCAGGTGGGTGGTTTGCTCCATTAGGCTCTCCTGCCTCTTCCCAGCACGTCTGCACCAAGTGTGGGCCGCTTACCACTTTCAGGGAATAAAACCATCAACGCTCTTTTTTAAAAAACAGCCCTTGCTGCGAACAGGGGAGGCTGTGGATAATCACACACTGGCCCAGCCCCACTCCTCCTGCCCCAAAGCCTGGCCCTCCGCAGCCCACTAACCACCACCTCCGGGCCCTCTCCAGATGCACGTCCATCCGTGCCGTGGGGGTCAAAGCAGGAGCAGCAGGATCTGGGCCTGTTTAAGGAGGAATGTGTGGCGCACAAGGGGCCATTGTGAGGGCCCCTGTTCAGACCACAGGCTGTGGTGAAGCTCTCCGGCTTCCGGGCGCACAGAGCGGCCGGTCTGGGGAGGGGGCACAGGGGCTAGCCACAGAGCCCTGCTCCAATGGGGGGCCAAATGTCATGCAAGGAATGTTAGAGACCAAGGTCAAAACAAACCCAAGCACAACTCCCGGGGACGGAGCGCCGGGGACGCTGCCGATCGTGGGGTCCTATTCTGGCCTCAGGCCCCAAGAGCACCTGCCCCGGCCAAGCAGAGCCTCTTCCAGGTAGTGGCAGAGCAGGTTCTGTCCGTGAAAGGGTGGCCACCCAGGAGCCAGGGTCGCGGCCCAGGGAACCAGGCAGGAAGTATTGTCCTCCTCCCCACCCTGAGCCCGCAGGGCAAGGCCACAGGGAAACGCCACCCCGGAGGTGACTGCTCGGCCGTCAGGATGCACAGGGCTAGCCATGAGGCCCTGGTTCTCCTCCCGTGGGGGCCAGGCCCTGGCACAGGCCCCTGGCTCTGGGTCAAGGACTCCGGCGGGGCCTTGGTGGGGACAGAGCGCCGTCTCATAGTGGCAGACAGGAGCTGGGGGCTGGGGCCACGAGAAGCTTCACTGAGTACAGCAGGGAAACGGGGCAGACAGAACGCGGGTAAGTCATGGAAGCGACAAATCTTCCAAAGGAAAAGAACCCCAGGCCACAAAAGCAGGACTCATTCCAACTAAAGAATGAATTACCTACGGAAAGAGGGGCCCC